TTTTGCTATTGTGAATAATGCGGCAATGAACATGGGTATGCATATGTCTATTCGTGTGACAGCTCTTATTTCTTTTGGGTATGTTCCTATGAGTGGGATTGCTGGATCTTATGGTATTTCTATTTTTATCGTTTCTATAGTGACTGTACCATTTTACATTCCCACGAGCAGTACATAAGTGTTCCAATCTCCACATAACCTCTCTAACATTTGTTATTTTCTGTTTTATTAGTGCCTGTAATTTCCACGTGAGATGGTGCCTTAGGCTGGCTTCGCTACAGAAGCAAAACCAGTAAAGCCTATAAATATATATACAGAGAGATGTATATCAAGAAAATGGCTCACTAGATTGTAGAGACTGGAATGTCAAGTCCGTGGATGAGGATAGAGGCTTCTCTTGATTCAAGTAGCCACAGGGGCTGGCAAACCCAAGATCGGCAGGTCAGAGAGCAGAGCTCTTGTTCACAGGCTGTGAAGATCGACCAATTCCAGGATCGACAGGCAAGACTGCAAGGCTTCTCCTGATTCATGTAGCTGCAGGGGCTGGTGAACCTAAGACTGGCAGGTCAGAGAGCAGGGCTGTGAAGATTGACAAATCCCAAGACTGGCAGATAAGCTGCTAGCTTAAGTCCCAATTGCCAGATGTCAGACTAACAGGAGGCAGCTGCAGGATCCAGAGCAGGCAAAAGCCAGAACATCCACTTATATTCAGGTGCAGGCCACAAGCCCAAGGAAACTCCCTTTCAACTGACTGGCTACTCACAGCAGATCCCATCATGGGGGTGATCACATATAAACACTGAATCATGGCTCAGCCAAGGTGACACACAATCTTAACCATCACAGATGGTATCTCATTGTAGTTTTGATTTGCATTTCTCTGCCTGAATGTCTTCTTTAGTGAAGTGTCTGTTCATATCCTTTGCCCATTTTTTAATTGGATTATTTGCCTCTCTGTTGTTGAGGTGTTGAAGTATGCTATAGATTTTAGAGATTAGACCTTTGTTAGATATGTCATAGCCAAAAAATTTTTCCCAGTCCATAGGTTCTCTTTTTACTCTTTTGGTGAAATTTTTTGATGAGCACAAGTGTTTAATTTTTAGGAGCTCCCAGTTATCTTATTTATCTTCCTGTATTTGTGCATTGTTAGTTATGGTTTTTATTCTATTTATGCCATGTATTAGGCCCCTAGTGTTGTCTCTGTTTTTTCTTCCATGATCTTTATTTTTTTAGGTTTTATATTTAGGTCCTTGATCCATTTTGAGTTAGTGTTTGTGTATGGTGTGAGGTATGGGTCTTGTTTCACTTTTTTACAGATGGACATCCAGTTTTGCCAGCACCATTTGTTAAAAAGACTATCTTTTCCCCATTTAATGGACTTTGGTCCTTTGTCAAAGATCAGCTGACCATAGATGGATGGATTTACATATGGGTTCTTGATTTGGTTCCATTGGTTAAGCATAACTTTTATATGTACTGGGTAACCAAAAAATTTGTATGACTCACTTTATTGCTGTGGTCTGGAACCAAACCTACAATATCTCGGAGGTATACCTGTATATGCTAGCAGAAAATAATCGTCAAACTAGAAATGCATTGCCTGCTAAATAGCAGAATGAGAGCAATGTAAACATATATCGAGTATGTTAAAAACACAATTTTACCTCCACCAGTCTCTCTTTAAAACTTGTAAAGGATATACTTCAGAAAAGAAGAAATTGATTTTAGAAGGAAAGTTAAGCTGTGTAAAGAAATAAAGATCAAAGAAAATGGTTTCCATTTATTTTTTAAGAGAGTCTACTGTACAAAGATGATGACTGCTACATGATTTATAATGCATAAAAATAAAACACACAAACCAACTAAAATCCTACATGCACCTATCTAGGTGACTGGTAATCTAAAAAAGACTCTTAGATGAAAGATGAGACCCTATGGTATGGACCACTAGTAATTAAGGCCAACAATTTAAAAAGAGGTGGCTAAATGTCATCACTTTATCGATAAACAGTGATTTCAGAGAGAGAAAATGGAAAGGGAGTTATTGGAGAACCAGGGGAGTTAAGACAAAGAGCAAGCAACATGGTGGGAAGCTGCAATTCCAACTGCTTAAATGGTCAAGCAGTTTTAGGGATAGGGATATATAGGATTTAACATTATGGGGTTTTCATTGCTGCAATAAAACTCCTTGACACCTTAATAATTCAGTGACGCCTCTTAAACATAAAAAATGTCCTGATGACAATTAGAAAAGAGGCAAAGTTTTTTATCTGGGCTGACATGGTGCAAAAGTTTAGTGAAAGCATCCCTAAACTAAATGAGGTATGTAGAATCCCTGAGCTCAGAGTCAAAGGTGATCCTGAAAATGTAAGATATATAGAAATTAACAGAAAACTTGGAAGAGGTAATTAGAATTTCCAAAGACCTTGGAATAAATTTAGGAATTAATGTTACTATATACAATGTAGGAGCCTTGGTGATACAGTGGTTAAGAGCTGGGGCTGCTAGACAAAAGGTCAGCAGTTCAAATTCACCAGCTGCTCCTTGGAAACCCTATGGGGCAGTTCTACTCCGTCCTACAGGGTTGCTATGAGTTGGAATCAACTCGATGGCAACGGATTTGATTTTTTTGTTGTTGTTGTTATATACAACTTAAATGGATATGGAAACTCCAGTTGCCCCCTGAGTTTAAATACATGCATCAAAATATGATATGAACCAGTATTCTACAAAAGAAGTTGTTTTTCTTTTCCTTTCTTCTTTAGTTTTTTCTTTCTTCCTTCCTTTTTTTTGGCTTGTAAGTATTGTCTAATTTTTTATTAATGTCGTGGAAGCTAATCCCTTAGCCCTCCAGACTAGATGTGATGCCCAGGTCCACTAAAGCATCTAAGCCTTCCCTTTATCTCAACCTCATCACCGTTGGTAATTACATTGTGTGCATATGTATGGGTGTGTATGTGTCTATATCATCTATATCTATCTATCTATCTGATTACTGTCTTCTCTATTAGAGAGTTAGTTTTTAAGGGAGTAAGAGTGAGTCCCATATCTGCTTTTTGTTTTGTTTTTTTCCTTTCTATTTTATTCACACTCCTAGCATGGTACCTTGCACATAGAGGTATTCAGGAAACATTTGGTGATTTATGACATCATTTTCCGTTGCTTTATTTCTGTTTCCTTGAACGTGAAGTAGGAATATTCAACAAATATTTACTGAGCTCTTACCACCTGCAAGGCATCTGCTAGGCTCTGAGTCATTTTCACCTTCACAGATCTGCTGTTCTGGTGGGGAAAGTGAGCAGTAAAGCACATTCAAAAATAATATATAGTCTGTTACATATTATTATAACAGCCTATATGTTATTTTTCTATATAAATAAAATAAAAATTTTATATGTAATAAATAATATTGATTAAAAATAGATAATAAGGGGGGATAGGAAATGTTGAGGGTTGCAATTATAAATAAGGTCAGAGAAGGCCTTAGTAACAAAATGAAAAGTGTGGATCCCATCACAAATTTCCATATGAGCAAGGAATAATAATAGTAGCTAGTTCAATGAAATCAATGCTTGGTATAAAAGAAGTCTGATATAAGTGTTAAGTATCACCATAAATATGAATATTATTTCATCGTAATTGGAGAAACTATTTTTGTCATATATGGAAAAGACAACTACATCTGAGAAGTTAAAAATCATATTCAATAATGAGGCAGCCTTGGGAAAATTAGAGCACAGAGAAAGTTGGCATTTTATGGAATCAATGTTTTGAGAAAACCAAGCAGCAAAAATTTTAATGAAGGATGTATTAAGCTTTGATCTGGCATGCATGCAGTAAATACCATTTATAAAACATGCACCTACGTCTCCCTTTTATGTCAAATCTAAAGGCATACAACTTTGAAGTCTCTCTTCTCTGGGATGAATCCAAACAGCAGTTAAGAATTCCTGCTGCAGTTCATTTAGAAGACGAGGGAATCATAAACTAACATGATACCAAAGAAGGACTGTATTTATAAACGATAGGTGTGAAAATGTTCTAATATTTTACTGGAATGTGTTCTGACCTTCAAAAGCCAGAGCTTCACACTTGTATCACTAAGGAATGCACCAGGTGAAGAGAGAGATGCGAGACATTCATTTTGCGGCAACTTCCAGTTAAATCAAATATTCTAGATAATATGAAAAATAAAACTTTTATAAATCAGCTATCATCAGATGTTAAGTTACATATTCAGTGTGAGATGTCTTTAGTTTCTAACACAAATCCAAAGAAATAAGCAGATATGCAGAAGTCTAGCTCAGACTTTTTGTGACAAACCTATCAATTTTGATTTGGTCAAATAGGTCTACCAACTAAGAGTGTAATAAACAAAAATGAAACAAAATTGATTCAAAAACTTATGTGGAATATAAATCAGTCTATCCACAAGTCATCACCATAAAGTATTCTGATTCTTTTAACATAAACAACGTAAGATCACAAAGCATTCATGTTAGTAGGGATTTTAGATATACATTTCACAAATCCTTTACTCGATATGAATCTTGAACAGATGGTCATCCTATCTGTCACTGACCACCTAAAGAAATAATACTTTCATTTCCTTGTGAGGTTAGTCTACTCCAAAGGCAGATGTCTCTCGCTGTTAGAAAGGTCTTTCCTGTATTCATTTGTAATTCCTGGTTGGCAGTGAAGTGTTAAGAGTGTGAGATCTAGCAAAGGTCTTGGATAAAACTTTACTGGTAGTATGAATCTTGACAAGTGACTTAAGACCCTAACATTTTAGTTTCCTCAAATGTACATATGTATGTATTAAGATAGTTACAACCTCATCTGGCTATTATTGTAAGGATTAAATGAGATAAAGAATACAAGTGCTAATCATTTACTAAGGCTTGTAAAAACTTTAACTATATTCATAAAGTAAGTAGTAAGTCATATTTTCTCTAATAATTTCTTACCCCACTTACAGAAAGTCTAATTATAATTTGAGGACAGTGGTGGTTCAGTGGTAGAATTCTTGCCTTGTATGCAGGGGACCTGGGTTCAGTTCCCAGCCAATGTACCTCAAGTACAGCCACCACTATCACTCATCTGTCAGTGGAGGCTTGCATATTGCTGTGATGCTTAGCAGGTTTCAGCAGAGTTTCCAGACTAAGACAAACTAGGAACAAAGGCTTGGTGATTCACTTCCAAAAGTCAGCCAATGAAAACCCTATAGATTACAATGGTCCGGTCCTATTGTGCATGGGGTCACCATGACTTGGGAATCAACTAGGCAGCTAACAATAACAACCATTATAATTTGGGCTATATAAGAGAAACATGAATAAAATTTTCACTTATGTATCTCAAATATAATTTCCAGATTTAAATTTCGTGATACTTCTTTCCCATGGCAAAAATAGTTGACAGTTGTCATTTCCTCTCTGCCAACCTTCTTCTAGTGGTGTCACTAGGAAGGTACAAGGGGAGGAGGTTGGGGTGTGGACTGCACCCCTGACACTGTCAGAGAGGGTGACACCAAAATGACCCTAGAGTTCGCAGTGGGGCAGGCTGGCCTGCACCACAAGAGAGGGACGACCAGGGCAGTGGCATCACTAGGGTTGGTGTCACCCATCACCCAGTGTGGTAGCTTGTCACTACCACACCCCCACCCTCACTGGGCAGAGAGGAGGGTCTCTGCCTTGGCCAGTGGGACAGGGGAGGAGCTGTGGGTGAGGACTGGCCAGGAGGGGCGGACCCCGCGGCACAGCACTAGACCCTGCATGGGGTGGGTGGGGCCAGGCTCTGCCCAGCAGGGGAGATTGCCAACTGGCTCCACCCATGGAGTGGGGCAGTGACGCCATGAGTTACTGCACTGGGTGACACCAACCCTAGTGCCACTACTGCCTTCACCCCCTTGGAAGACTTTTCATCTGCAGCCTTAATATTCTGGTTCCTTCCATTGTTCATTATACAATATGGTTTTAAGTTCCCTCACCATACTGATCTCTTCTTTCTGAGTCAGGCTCTTAGTTATTTGATGCCTTTCTAAACCAAAATATCCAGACTTGCATGCACTATCTGTAGTAATAAGCAATATCTGACTCTCGTCTCCCTTTTTGTAGATATTATTTTTGTTTCAAGCAACATTCACAATGAATATCAAAATATTTTATTTAGGCAAATACACATGTATTCACCATATTTCATTGTAAATAATTTAAATAACAATTTAGAAACTGATCTTTTAGAGTCTGTTTTTGATGCATTATACACACAGGCTTCCATATTCTTCCTGGAACACAGAAGATATGCTCCTGCCTTAAGGTTTTTTCACTAACTAATTGCTCTTTCTGTGAAATTTTCTCTTCTCGTTATCTACATGGCTCACTCATTGCCTTTTTTGAGGCATTCACTCAAGTGTTATCCTTTCAGTAATGCTTTTCCTGTTCACACCGTTTTGCATTGGAAACCCCTCCCCCCTTAGAATCGTCTGTTCCCATCCCTAGCCCTTTGGTTAACCAACTTCTGTCTACTTTATTTTATACATTGACTGGCTGGCTTCATTAGAATGTAAGCCTCATTGAGGGATGAAATTTTTTTGTCTATTTTTGTTCACTGTTGTATTTCCAGTTATAGGATGGTTTGAGGAATAAAGCAGGCATTCAATAAATATTCATTAAATGAATTAATTCTTGGAAAACAATCAGTAATTTCTTCTTTTTTTTTTTCATTGAGAAGGAACTTAATGTTTGATAGTTTAAAAAAGTCACTGAGTGGCAAATACAGAAAGAAAATTTTGACCCAGCTAATCACAAAACAAAAACTGGTCTTGGTAGATTTCTAAAATAGTACAGATCTTCTAGCACTTCAACTTTAAAAAAGATATGCATCAAAAACATTAATGAATGTATCACTGAAATAAATGAATTACTTTTCTGAGAGTACTCAAATGTAATACTATTTTAAATATATATCCTAACATTTGTATGAAAAATTAATCACACTGCCTGTTTGTGTAAGGAAAAAAATACTTCATTTTGAATATTTCATGATGAAAATTTCAGTTTTGTGACCAAGGTAAAGAAGTTCAATTTTGTAAAGTGACTCTTGAAAATTTATAAGGACTTTATCTATAGGGAGCCCTGGTGGCACAGTGGTTAAGAGCTCGGCTGTCAACCAAAAGGTCTGCAGCTGGAATCCACCAGTCACTCCTTGGAAACCCTATAGGACAGTTCTACTCTGTCCTATAGGGTTGCTATGAGTCAAAATTGACTTGACGGCAATAGATTTGTTTGTTTTATTTACAGATCATATTTCTTTTCAATTCTAATGCCATTAATAATTTGTTAATTTACATTTCAACATAAAGTGAAATGTAGATTCAAATTAAAAGTATTAATATTGCATGAATCCTGTCACCAACCAGAATATTAAATACTTGTCTTTCCCTTCCCTTATCAAGAATGATTGCTTTTAATTATGCTAAAATCAAGTCTCACCTTATTCTAATTTCATATTTAATAGTAGAAGTAAACATATCAAAATATAATCGATCATTTCAAATAAGTACAATGCTCTTTTTGTGGTTGTTAGTTTTGTATTTGAAAAGAAGGAAAGAAATGTCAAAGATGATTGGGTTGAATAAGCAAACATGACAAATTCTTTTACTATCTAAATCATGAAATAACACTAGATTAAGGCAATGTGCCCCATTCAGGCAACTTTCAAAATCAGACCTTAAATGTCAAAGCTGAGAGTTATGGTTCAAATCCTTTTCTACTAGATCAACTCAGGCTTTCTTAAGTTCTCCCATTTTTTAAATGATGAATCATGGACCTAAACACCAAGATGCTCAAGTGGTTAAATGGCCACAGAGTTAATAAATGGCACTGTTAAATTTAAACACTGAGAACCTTTCAAAAACAGTAAGCAAACTTATTTCATCAGGCTCAAAACAAGCTAAACAAATACATTTAGAAAAAGAAAAATAAGGTCCACAATATCTTTTAGGAAACCTTTTAGGCCTGATATACTTTGGAATTGATGCTTTTTTGAATTTTAGAAAGCAAATATGATGCAGGATCCCTGGGATGATCCCTGGGAGCTGTAAACGGTTAACGTCCTTGGCTACTAATCCAAAGGTTGGTGATTTGATTCTACTTAGAGGGGTCTTGGAAGAAAGGCTTGGAGATCTACTTCCGAAAAATCAGCCACTGAAAATCCTGTGCAGCACAGTTCTACTCCGACTCACATGGGTCACTATGAGTTGGGATCGACTTGACAGCAACGGGTTATTCGTTGAAGCCTAAGGCAGCACATTATAATAAAACATTGTAATATTTCTCAGTAGAAGGTATAAATATACACACTACACTACACAAGATAATTAAAGACCAAGAATAGATCCATGTCAGGTTAGGTTTTGCTGCCAAATGAGTTAAGCCAAAAAAAAAAAAAAAAAGCAAAACAAAAAGGAAAAAAACCTGTTTTTATGGCTTTTTGAGTTTTGAATGCAAAAAAGGAATTGCAGATCTTTATTTCAAAAGCAGATGATAAAGAATTACAAAATATATGAAATTGGTTAGTTAATGTGTATAGTTACTAAACCAAATAATTAATGCTTCAGGAACAGTATAACTAAAAAATGCTCTTTTATACAACCTAACTTTCCACTTCATAGGGAAAGAGACCAATGAAAACTATGTCTAGATTTCCTCTAAGGAGGTGGGCAGTCAGAAAAAATTATCTACCACTGATATAAACCCCTTGTGGCACAGTGGTTATGAGCTATGGCTGTTAACCAAAAGGCCAGAAGTTTGGATCCATAAGCCACTTCTTGGAAACCCTGTGGGGCCGTTCTATTCTGTCCTACAGGGTCACTATGAGTCGGAATCAACTCAGTGGCAAAGGGTTTGATTTTTTTTGGTTTGGATAGTGCATACCAAACCCCTGTCTCAATTTTCTTAACAGAGTCTGGTAATTTTTCAGATGAAATGTGTTCCTGTTTTTAAGTAGATCTCACGCTCATTCAAACATCAGTCATGAAAGTTATTCTATAATTAGGTATCAAAGTCCTCTGGTTTTAGTGAATCAATTCTTCTCACTTTAACTAAGAGCCACCGGGATGGTTCATGTAAGAATTCACAAAAAATTTACTATGTCTATTTCTATAGCTTTCATCGGAAAGATGAGAGATAAAGAAAACTTTTTCTTTCCAAATTTTATCAAGAGAAAAAACAAATCCATTACAAATGCTCTTTTCAAAGACTATCCTCTACATATTTGAGAAAATCATTCCACGAATAGCTTCATCAGTTTTTATAAATGTGGCTGAAATGAGGTAGCTGATTAGATTTTGTTTTCTTTACCAGAAATAAAGAGTTGCCATATTCTTACTCCATTTAATAATTCAGTCACCATCAGAAAGGATTTCTTTCTCAATTGCCATGCTACCAATGGCCTGGAGTGAGTACTCAAGCATTTCTGATTGCTCTTGTAGACACTGACTCACTGTATTGTACCGGTCAAAACCTGTCCTGCTTGCTATCTTTTCATCAGGTTAATAGATGGTTGGGACCAAATCATATATATTGTGAAGTCGATTTATTTTTATCATCACTTATTTTGAGAGAATGGATAAGCAGAAGCACCAGGAGACCCAGTCCCTTGGACTAGTTCTCCAAAAAATGGAAAAAAAAAAAAAAAAAAGTCATCGTGAGGCTAAACTGGGATTAGGCAATTTTCAGAAAGTGTTTTGAATCTGGAAGAAATTCTAAATCAGGTTGAGTACTTCTTTTACTTCACACTGAGTGAGGGGGGAAGCACACTGAAAAAAGAAAAAGATTATGATCTTCAACATATCTTTCAACATATCTTTGGATTTTTTACAAGCTATCCTAGAATTTTGGTTCCAGATATGGAAATTTGGAAGTTTTCTGTCAGAGCTTTCACAAATCAGCCAGACATTCTTTTTAAGGGAACAATTATACTATTTACAAAATCAGTAAAGTGTAGGGCCCAGAAGCAACAGCTGCAGGGACTATAAAAAGAATGGATTGTACCATCACAGTCATTGTG